ATAAAACATTTTACTTGGGTTCATTAATTAAAAATAGGGTTTTCATGTCAGTGCAAAAAAAAAAAAAAATTAGATCATGATGCCTCTGCTTACCAATAATAACCCCAAATCAAAACTTTACTTGACTTTTACCTAAAGCAATAATCTTTATAATTTTGCCAACTGCTTAATTTTCATACCAGTGGAACACGAGCCTTCCCTTCACATTCTATCTCACTACAATCTCTGTATAAATGTCTCATTTTTCTTTTTAAAAAAACTAATTACATGGTTCAGTAAGTTGCCTGCGGTAACTCACTGACGTTATTTACAATAGAAAGTTAGACTTCAGTTTGCTCTCTCAATTTCAAGCATGTTTAGCTTAATAATTCTAGTTCACTGAATCTTTTTCTATTCTTCACATGAAAGAATTTGAGTCGATGTCTGCCCATAATTTCACAATAAGAATTTGTTACTCATTAAAGTCTTAATAAATGCCATGTCTGTTAAGGAGGTGTAACTTATTAAGTCCAATTTTAGGTAAGCATATATGTTCACACAGATAGTCATCGTACAATGAAAACTATTACTACTTTATAGAATTGGAAAATTAATTCAGAACAAAATATAGGAATATATAGAAATATAGGAATATAGAAAATAAGCAATAAAAATATGTTTTAGATCTGGGCGGTGGTGATGCATTCTTTTAATCCCAGCACTCTGGAGGCAGAGGTAGGCAACTCTCTGTGAGCTTGAGGACAACCTGATCTACACAGAGAGTTCCAGGACAGCCAGGGCTACACAGAGAAACCGAATCTCAAAAAACAAACAAAACAAAAAACAAAAGAAAAAAAAAAATATATATATATATATGCACTTTAGGCCATGTGTGGTGACACACATCTTTAATCCAAGCACTTGGGATCCCTATGCGGTGAAGGCCATTCTGGTCTCCCGTCCCACCCCCCACCCCCCATATATTCTGGGTAGTGCTCTGAGTACAGCCTGGTGTGTGTGCCTCTCTTACAGCCTTTTTAAACTAAAAGTTCCTCTAACTGAACTCAGAAGCACTCTTACAGCCAAAAAGATGACCACACACACACATAAACACACTCATTCACACTCAGTGGGTACCCTGCTCTGACATGTGGCAGCAGTCACAACTCTGCTTAGAGCATTCGACAAATTAAAAACAATGGTTCTCTTCACACAACAATCTGTGTTTGCTGTCAAACAGAGAAGGAGCCAGTCAGATGGCTCAACAGGTAAAAGTACTTGCCACACAGACCTGCAGACCTGCATCTAAGACCCAGAACCCAAGAGCTGTCCTCCAATCTCTACAACATGCCCATAGTGGCAACACAGAACCCCCCAACATGCACACCCATACACACACAAAAAAAAATTATAGAAAGTACAGATAAATATCTTATGAGCATGTTATCTCTGCCACTGTGACATTTTTGTTATTGCCCATTGCCCCACCCAAACATTAAAGCTAGAAAATATAATTTCAGCTTACAAGTAGAAGATATAATTTCAGCTTGCAAATGTTTGGCAGTAGCAAGCACTAACTGCTACACAGAACAGAATCAATTGTTTAGAAAATGCCAAAATGCAATTCTCATCTCTGAGCTCACGGCTGTCAGTGCAGTAGCAACGGCAGGCAGCTACAGTTACAGAGTAACTGCTGTGTGTGCTAGCTGGGGACTTTATTAACTTCAGCTTTATAATCCAATTTACAGGGAGGAAACTAAGACAATGATCAGTTAAATAAACTGACCGAAGGTTCACAGCTGTTAAGTGACTATGCAGGCATTGGAAGCCAAGCAATCAGGAGCCACACAAGAGCCCCCACAGAGGCGGCTCTGAGTGCAGCAGCATCTTCCCTCACAGGGCTCCAGACACATCAAGCATTCCAGGTACAACGTGATCTATCCAGCCCTTGTGTGCTGCAGGAGCACCATCACTCTGTGCAGCTACTGTACTAATGTACACACATATATACCAAGGTGGCAGCTTTGGTAATTGCTGGGGTCTGTCAGCAGTATGTTATGAAGCAAAGCACCATGACAAGGTGAAAAACATCACCAAAAAGATGGACAGTACTTCAATATCCCTGCTAATGTTACAATAGCGCTGCCTTGTCCTAACATTCACATCTGCCAGCAGGACTTTGCTAAAGTTTATTTTACCCAAAATAAAATAACTCTTAAATAGACTGGAAAAGGAAGTGTTTAATACTCTCAATTCTATGGCAACCAATAGGAACTGTCCCTTCAATCATTGGCTTTCCTGAATGTTCTCCATGTCACCCTCACTGCCATTATGCCACTCACTTTTCTAATTAATTTTCAAATATCTCCTAATACTTGAGCCATATAATTTACTCTTTCAGCCACTTTTACATGCAAAAGTGGACAATTTGTGTGACTGGCTCTAACAACTTTCCCAACATTCAGCACACTGAAAGGAGGAGACACTCAAGGATGCTGTGGCTGCTCAGCAAGAGCACACTCTTCACAGTTCTCAAAAGGAAAGAGCATAAAAACAAGAGGCCACTCCCCTGGGAAACACATCATCAGAAAGTGAAAGACAGGGGATAGTGAAACAGCACTTCGGCTTCACACTCATAGGCAAACAGCAACTACCCCAACTGTGTTATCTGTCCTCTTTCACATGGTCATTCTGAAAATGTAGTGCTTTCACAGGGAATGCTGCATGCCTTTAACCTCAACTAGGAGACAGAGGCAGGCGGATCCCTGTGAGTTCAAGGCCAGCCTGGTCTACAGAGCAACCTCCACGTCAGCCAGAGCTACATATTGAGACCTTGATTTTAAAAAGTAGTAGTTTTCTATGGTTTAAAAACAAAATAAGAAAAAAACCACTTTAAAATAAGTCAATCTTTGCTTAATTATTCTTTAGCAAAATATTCTCAAATTAATGAACTACATATATGACGTGAACCAACCAGCTAGGGAAAGGTAAGAAGCCCACAGTAACAAGCTGGTCTCCAGGAAAAGCACTCACTCTGCTGTCAGGAACAGATAATTTCATAATTAGGAAGCCTGGCTTCTGAATTGTCACAAAATGAATTAAGAAATCAGTACATAGAAACAGAAGATGAAAATCCAGAATAGTCACCAAAAATATAGAACCAGGGCTGGGAGATGGCTTGACAGGTGAAGGTACTTGTCAGTCACTGAGCCAAACAACCTGAGTTTAAGCCTTAGGATACATGGTAGAGGTAGAGAAAGAACTCCCAGAAGTAGTTCTCTGACCTCACAGCTATACCATGGTACACATACCCTCCCACAATCAATCAACCAATCGATCAGTTGATCAATCAGTTAATTTAGATTAATAGATCAACCCATCAATCAATCAATATTAGTTTAAAATGTTTTTAAGATTAAAAACAGGAGGATAAGATGTTAAAGACTATAATCATCCATCCACATGTGTAAACAAATAAAAGAATGCAATATTTTGATATTCAACAAACACAAATATAACAAGGACCACCTAGAAGCTCTTAGAGACTCCAAAAAACCGAAACGTAGGTGGTGTAAAACTCTAACTTTACCTGCATCACCTACTAATTACACAAGGTTTTAAGATGCACGTAAATTTTGGGATTCTGATGATGAGCCCACTAGTAAGCAACCTCACCTAGAGTGTAGGTTAACAGAACAATCAACAAAGGCTTAACAGCCAGTTAGCGTTAGCTCAATTAGTCCACTGTGCTGTACTGCCCCCTAGCTGCTGTGGCAGGAAATACCACCAACAAAAGAACAGGACTGCCAACAAGTTTCAAGAATTTGGCAGGAAATCCTTTAGGCAAATTTAGAACCATTAAAACAGACCCACAAAAATACACTGGAGATTGTTTTAAGCCTTCCTGTAATAAATAATAAAAACATAAACTAACAAAACATCTCAGCAATGCCTGCAATATTTCAAGCATAATTTAACTGGAGTAGGTTAGGTTAACAGCACCTAGGTGAGAAGGACCAGCACTCTCCATTGAGATGTAGTCTAGCTAAGCGTGGTGCCTAGCACTCAGTGAGCCTGGGGGCAGCGCGACAGCACAAAAGGCCTGGCTCAAAACCATGAACTAAACACTGGAATTTGTCTCGACTTAGAAAATTCTGTAGGATACGCACGAGAAATTGTTGGATAGAGAAGTGAAAATGTCTGCCAGAAATCAAGAACAACTGATAACGTTTTCTGCTACTGTAAATGTATGGTAAATAGAGGAAGTAATTTAGGCTAACAAATAGCTTGCATTAATTCAAAGTTTTTAGGTGTCAGATGCAAACTGAAGTTCAAAATTAGTATTTCTGGAATCAGTGAGGGAAATAAGCTAAAATACTTTTTAGAAAGTTATCTTTCCCTAAAACACTATCCAAGGCCAATTCAAGCTTTGTCCAGTAAAGGCTGTATTACATTTCTGTATTTTCAATTTGCCAACAAAGAGTTTGGCTAGCAAAGTCCTGCAGGGAAAAAGTTCTGCTCATATAGCTGTCTTACTAATTACTCACAATTCACTATTAATTTTAAAACAGTGGGCCAGAGCCTTGTCTTCACCCAATCACAGCACACTGCGTACACGTACACAATATTTTCCTTTAATAGTAATGATTTCAGAGGCCAGAAGGACAGGGTGGTGAATCCCTGTATCCCAGCATGCAAGAGGCTGAGCCAGAAAGAAGACTTTAAGTTTATGGATACATGGTGATTCCCTGTCTATAAATAATAACATAGTAAAAAAATAATTCTAAAGTTATGTGATAAGATTCTAATTTTCAACATGACTGGGGAAGGACAAGAGACTTTAAGGGAAGAAAATGTAGGAACGGAAGAAGGGAGTGGGGAAAGTAAGGGTACTCTTAACAAACACATCATTTACTCAATACTTGGGGTCTCTGTTTTAAGTGACTCTTTACCTTTCCAAAATTTACCATTGTTCAAAAAATATGATGCAAACAATTTTTAAGAAAAGACAAAATCCTTACCCTGAAGTTCATGATGTATCACTCCTACTAGGTTGGGTTCGTCTCCCCACCAGAATATCCACAGCTCTTTGCAATCTGGCTTGACGTCACGACGCCATACACACAGCAGGTTGGCTTGCAAACAGCGGATGAAACTTAACAGGATTGGATCATCTTGGGCTGGGGCTGAAATTATGGGTCCACAGTCCCCATGCCCTCCAAAATTGTACCTACGCCATTTGATTCCTGTGAGTTCAGCCTGGAAAAAAAAAAAAATTATAAGTTTTGATTTTTCTTTTTTCTTTCTTTTTTACCACTAAAAGCAAGCTCCCAAAGAAGCCCTTCTGGGTTTAGGGACAGGGATGTGGGAATAATTTCTATCAAGACGTCTACAAGTTCATCATATTAAATAACAAAATAAAACAAGCTGGTAATCATTATGTGCTGTTGAAACACTTTTCATTCACCTAACCATATACTATAAAGTACCCATATTTTAAAAACTATGTTCAATTACTACACCCTATTCAATTCAAAAGCTATACCTATTTTACACCCAAAAAAGGAACTACAGAGCTCACTCAGCAGCTAAGAGTACTGGTTGCTCTTGGAGAGGATGGAGGCTGGATTCCCAGCACCCATACAGTGGATCACAGTCCTCCTTTACCTCTGATCCCAGGACAGCCAGTGGCCTCTTCATATCTACCAGCATAGGACACACATACATGCAAGGCAAAACTCTCATACACATTAAAAAAAAAAAAAAAAAAAAGAACAACTTTAGGCCTTTAGTTCCAACACTCAGGAGGCAGAGGAAGGCAGATCTCTGTGAGTTCAGGGCCAGCCTGGTCTACAGAGTGAGTTTTTAGAGACAGCCAGGGCTACACAGAAAAACACTGTCTCGGGGGGAGGGGGGGAGGATGTTTACATATTTTAATGTAAAGAAATAAAACAAGATTTTAAAATAAGTGTTGCAGCATGGTGGTGCACACCTTTAATCCCAGCACTCAGGAAGCAGATATAGGTGGCGCTCCATGAGTTTGAGGCCAGGCTAGTCTATATACCAAGTTCCAGGACAACTAGAGCAATGTACAACAAAAAGCACAAGCTGACAGTTCTCAACACAAAAATCTGACTGAAATGATTTCTAAATCCACACTTGGAAGCATTTGAGATTCACATCTTCACATTAGGGATGGCAAGCCAGCGAAGTGTTCAACAGCCCCAAATCTAAGAATCTACACTCTGACACATCTGGTCCCAAGGCCTTGAAATAAGGGGCTCTCTGCAAGGAGAAGACATTCTTTCTTCCAAGGAATTTCCACTCCCCACCTCACTCCCCCACCTCAGCAGCTAGTTCAGGAGGTTCTCACCAGTGCAGCACAGCAGCTGAAAAGTCTCCTCAGAAAGCAGCTGCTAACAAAACTGACAAAGCTGCTCAGCAGCAGCTCCTGCATGTGACTCTGCGTGCAGCACAGACCCCTGCCTCCTTAGCAAGCCTCTGCTGCCGTCCGGTCTTTTGTTTTTTAGCCACATTTTAAAACTCAGAACTTTAAAACAAGCAAGCAGAGGCTGTTTGTGCTGCTGCACAACGCACGTCTCTCTACTCTCAGGTTTGCTGAAGCTTAGGTCTGATGAACCAAACATCAAAGATGCTTCAAAACAAAGGAGAGCTGGGCTCCTTACTCAAGTAGCTGCAGACTGGAACCAGGTACTCCAGCAAAGCTGACCACTGCAGTCCTTATCACACAGCCCATGGCTCCCCAGCCCTCCATGCCCTCCCCAACAGAGCAATCACTTTTATGGACAAATTCTTTTTCAAAACAAAAGCACGACAGGACAGTAAAGTAACCATCTGCAACACAACTGGGACTAACTCTGGGAGCTCAGACAGCGGACTGGCACCATGGTCATATCCAAGGGGGAATAAGCTCATTTCTTTATCCCAAAAAGCAGTGTAACTCCAAAAGAAAAGTCACAAAAACAATAACCAAACTAATAGTATCTGAAGCTCAGAAACCTACCTGTCCCATCCTTGTCTAGTTTTCTGTCCCTTTGTTTCTTCTAATAAATGAATATCTCTGTGCTTTAATCAGAAAGCCCGGCATTAATTTCTAAATGTCAAAAAAGGAGATGAAATAAAACCAGAGAAGCTCAAATCGGAGAAGATAAGGAAACCACTCACCATGTGAGCCAAGGACACTGTCCTATGCCTAAGGACCCTGGGAAGGGGAGGAGGGGAGAGGAGGAGAGCACCAAACCCACAGTATGAATCACTATGATGACAGCAACCATGAGTGCTAGAAAATTAGGGCACATTAGAGACTTGCACACCTGGCTGAGCCTGTCCCCAGAAAACCCACGCATGGTGACTCACTCCCTAGAGCACTTTCCCCTGTAGCACCCTTGCAGTTCAGCAGGCAAATAAATATCTGACTGATTCCGAATGGCTTTCTAGCCCTGGTTTCCTAGCCGGACACTTGCACTAACTTCCTGTGCCTCTGCTCTCAGTGGCAGAGGGAAGCTACTGTCACCTGCTGAGCTCTTTACAAAGCTGTCCAGGCTGCAGTGTGCTGTAAGTGCCACATAGCACTACCACAGGCTCTATAGCTAGTTCAGCCAAAGAACTGGGGAACTTCCGATTATTTCAAAACATTCAGTTCCTTTCTTTTAAAGCTAAAATTAAGAATTATGGCAGTCTTCTCGGAAAAGCCTTTAACACCTAAGATAAAGCCAACACTCAGAGGCTTGCTTTAAACCTTGAATCAGTGTCTAATAAGAGCAAAGTTGAAGTTCCCCAAACCCTTTGTCCCACCATAGACTCTCTGTCACTTCTCGGGAGCATGGAGTGCCCAGCTCTGCTCACCAAGCCCTGGCAGCGCTCCACCTCCTCTCTACCTCCTCTCAGCCCCAGAGAGATGGTGCAAAAAACAGCCTTAGAAGAAACCTCAGATAAAATTAAATAAACCTGGGGGCTTCCAACTGTTGAGAAAACTCTTTTTTAATCTTTAATTTAGTATTTATTTACTATACATGAATTTGACTTCAGGGAAGTCAAAGAACAATCTATGGAAGTCAGCTCTCCCCCTCAGCCACATGGGTCCTAGGCATTGAACTAGGTTCTCAGGCTCAGTGGCAAGCCTTTTTACCTGCTGAACCATCTCGCTGACCCCACTTTCCCCATTTCTGACAAATGCCTATCTCTAAGACTCAAATTTTCCTATCTACTGACTACAGTCTTGAATGAATGCTGAGCCTTGGTGCACAGTGCAGCTCTTCAGAGGCAGGAGAGGCCTGGGAACAGTACAGAAAATGTTCTCTTAGCATGTGTGGCCACAGGTTCAATCCCTCACTCACCTAAAAGAATTTTCTGAAGCAAACCTTTAAATATTTCTATACTCCAATTATCCTAAATATACATTTACATTAAAAAGAATAAACAAATGCGGAGTTATATATAAGTTCTAAAATCCAAAACCAAATGGACTGGGAATGTGAGTTCTTCCCACTTGTTCCAGCCTTCCAACCACAGAGCTAAAGAAGTTAAGACTCCTAACAGTTAAATAATTCATCTACAAACATAAACCTGGCAAATGACAGGTCCCAAACATAGGTGGGTTTAAACCACAACTGAATCTGAAACAAAAATTCTTTCCATTCTGTCATGTTCCTTCATAGGGCTACTGTTAAAAATGATCCCTGGAGGATTAGAAAATCATACAAAGAAACCGTCATAGGCTCAATTTAGCAATGACCAGAGCTCATGGCCATGGTCTCTTATTTAAGAAAGCCCATGGCTCATTCTGTAGTCTTCCTGGGGCAATAAAAACAAGTCATAAGAGTGGCCACACCATCTCAAGAATCAAGAGACTCAGACACTTACTGCAACAGGCATCTACACATCATCAGTGGAGGACAGTAATACATAATTCTTCTTGAAGGGTATGTATTTTTTTTTTTCAAAGAATCTTCCTTCAAGAGGGGATGGAGAAAAGTGTGTTCAGCAATGGCTGGCATCTGTTACCCAGGCAGTGAAGGTCTTCTGAAAGATGAACTGAACTGGTGGGGACTGCTGGCAAAGAGGGAAGTCCACTCTAGTCAGATCACGACAATGCTAAGAGGATTAAAACAGAATCAAGACAAACGTTCTTCCCTACACCATAGATGGGACTTACAGAGATGTTACACTGGTTCTTAGCCATCGTCCCTAGGTACAATGTGTACAAATAACTCCTGCTTTCACACTAAATGTTTGACTGCCAACATCAAACATCTGCACTTGGCCCCAGAGTGAAAACTAGATTCAGTGGTCCTAAACCCGAATAAAGCCTACAGGCGTTGGTAAGAATGAACTGAGGCTTAGAACCCCAGAGCAACACTATAGGAGATAAGAAATGCTGGTTGTGAGACTGCTTTCTCCACAAAGTGCCTCCATGATGTCAGGAAGCCTACTCCTGAGCCCAGGGTGCCTCAGCTTTAGGAGCTATAAAGTGCTACGGCTGACCTACATACTATAAATGAGCTCCTCTCCTGTCCCAAACTAATTACATCTCACTTGCGAAGGCAACTTGTAAATGATACAAACCTTTACCAGACATCTCAGAGACATCAGTGACAAAATTTCCACAAGATACTGAAATCTAAGGAACCTGCTGGGCTGAGGTGGAAGATGTAGCTCAGTGGTCCAGCACTTGCCTAGCATGTGCAAGGCTGTGGGAGAGGGACAACATTCATCTCTTGCTGCCAACATAAGTGCCCTAGAAAACCTCAAGTATGCCTTTACCCTCTCCCTACTGTGACAGAATTACTACTCTAGCAGATTAGGAAAATACAGTAAATATATTAACTCGCCTCACAGATCAAAGCCAGGAAAGAAAAACAAATGTCGCACATAATGGAAAGCTTTTGTTACAGCATAACTAATCGGCTCCAGGTAAGAATAGCAGAGTAAACACACACATCTGCTTCTGCTCTCTTTAAACCACACTAAGTATCAGTGAAGAAGTTGGTTTCTTTGGGCTGTTCTCTCCCTCTAACTGTGAAATCACAACAATAGGTAGAACAAGAAAGAGCATCTGTGTCTCAAAAACTATGAAGATAGTACTCAGGAAAGAAAGAGAAGTGGCCTGGACCAAAGAGGTGAGGGATGGTCAGTTAAAATAGCTTCTTACTAGGACATGACCTCATGAAGGGTAGAGAAAATTTTGTCAACAGTGAAAGGTTTCTGAATAAGCAATGTTCAAACACTAACTTTAAATC